CAGCAGGTGGAGGGAGGTGATCCTGCCCCTCTCCTCAGCCCTGGGGAGGCCTCACCTGGAGTACTGTGTCCAGTTCTGGGCTCCCCAGTCCAAGAGAGACTTGGCACTCCTGGAGAGAGTCCAGCGGAGGGCTACCAAGATGATTAGAGGGCTGGAGCACCTCTCCTAGGAAGAAAGACTGCAAGAGCTGGGCCTGTTCAGCCTGGAAAAGAGAAGACTGAGAGGCGATCTCATCAATGTCTACAAGTATCTGAAGAGGGGGGTGTCGAGAGGATGAGGCCAGCTTCTTCTCCGTGGTGCCCAGCAACAGGACAAGAGGCAACGGGCAGAAACTGAAGCACAGGAAGTTCCATCTGAACCTGAGAAAAAACTTCTTCACTGTGAGGGTGACAGAGCACTGGCACAGGTTGCCCAGAGTCTCCTTCGCTGGAGATATTCAAAACCCGCCTGGATGTGATCCTGGGCAATATGCTCTAGGTGACCCTGCTTGAGCAGGGAGGTTGGACTAGATGATCTCCAGAGGTCCCTTCTAACCTAAACGATTCTGTGATTCTGTGAAGACATCAAAGTGTGAACTAGCCCTGTAGAATAAGATCCATCTCACCTAAGTTTGCACATAGATGCTGTAGATATCTATATTTAAATTATTAACATAAAGACTTTGAAGACAATGCAAAGAAACAGGCACTTTTACAGTAGAATTCTGGCCTGATGTGGACGTGTTATCTCACTAAAGATAGGGTGAATCATGTTGTAGACTCCATCAGATCTCTACTGAGTGTATCTGTTGATATATATTGACTAGCTTAAAGTAATTAGATATCTACAAAGTAGACATCAATCTTTATTAAAATTAATTCCAAACCTACACTCATTTTACTGACAACGAATAGTAATAGACATTCATAACGATGAGTCATCTTTTCCTAAAGGAGACTTTTATACAGGTCAACTATATTACACCTCATCAGAAGCCTAACAGTCTCTCCAGTGACTACAAAGGGAATTGAGGCTGAGTTTGTCACATGGATATCTTCACTGTCAACTTCTAAAGTTTAGATTAGAGGAATCCCACCTCTTGCCTCAAACTTGGTGAGGAATGAGCACAAAAATAATCGTGACAATATTTTAAGTGGAAGAATAAAGAGCAAACCATGAAGCTACAGTATGCCATTAGCAGTAAAATGCTTAGTATGGCTGGGATTTAATAAATGTGAGTATCTATTTTATCTAGAACATGCTAAATATAGTTAGCATGTGACTTTCAAGAAACTCAGTTGTCCTTCTAACAGGTACATCTCCTATCTAAAAGATTAATTAGGTATGTAATATCCCTTTTGAAGACTTAAGATGACACCTAAACATAGTAATTGGTTACTGCTTTTTTATTTTCCCATGTATAAATGACATTTTCAGGCTAAGGACTTTAAAAGCTGTCACGGCTTATTGAGAGCTTCATACTTTGACACACAAAATGAGGTTTAATTGTGTTTATGGGATGATATACAGGGATTTTTCTTCTTTTTTTTCCTGGCTACCTGTGTGTTTAATACGTCTTGCCATTGACTAGATAGAAGATTTCACCTTGGAGAGTTGTCAGTCTCCTATCTTTCTAAAATTTGCATTTACTTAATCGGAAATTTGTTTGTCTGCAAAGGTCCCGTATGAAGCCTATGCTGCATCAGGGTGTAGGCTGAGTTGTAAACTTCATATTTAAAACAGTCTCCTCCTAAAGGTAGGTCTAAGCTTTACCTAACTAGTCTTAGTCTTTCAGCCTCTCTGGACTTAGAAAACTGACTTTCTGACTACTTTTGTCTCCTATTGTCTGTTTCTTCCATCTGCTACTGTACAATGTCAGTCTGTTGTCTGAATCTTCTGACAGCGACACTACTATATATCTTAAAGATCTTGAGGTGACAAAATCGCAGAGCAAGAAGGATTATTTTCATGCGTAAAATTGGTCTTATGACCTATCAAATGTAATAAAATATACAGCTGTAAGTTATGACAATATTTTCTTTCATTCTTTAGTGATGATAATTATTGACTACTCTCCAGCAAAATGCTATACTTGTGGATCAGTGCAGCAGGACCTCTTTGAGAATATTGATTTTCACTCAGAAGACTGCCATAAAATGCAAGAGAAATTTCATCAGAGAACATAGAATATAAGAGATTTCTCCAAGGTACATGTCTCGTCTAACCTAATCGTGTGAACTTCTTGTACAAGTTACCAAGTCAGATGCACTATGATAAAGTGATTAATTCATAAATGCCTAAACTAAATGGCACTAGTTCACTTTTCTCGTTGCTTCGCTCTCCATTGGCAAATAACAGAGCTTTGACAGTGATTTCACGCTAGATACCTAACATTTAGATATTAGGCTAACCTCAGCTAGAACTGATCCCTAGCTCTCCTTACTCCTGGGTATGTATTGACACAATTTCATTGAGCTCAATGGATATAAATTGTTCTACACAGGATGAGAGTCTGATTCGCTCTCTCCTTTTCCACCACAGTTGTCCTAGGAAACCTTCAAGTAAAACATTTCCTCTCAGTGTGACCAGAGCTCACCTCACTGATGTATAATTGGGAGTAATTATTAACAATTTTGATACACACATTGAAGGATATAAGCAAGTAATTCAAAAATCTATATAAGTCATTGAAAGACACACAGTGACAGCAGAGATTTGGATTAGAGCTGGAAACTACTATCCAGAACCATAAATAGCATCAGCATTAATTTACAAAATTTCACACAAATAACCTTAAAATCCTTGATCACGGCGCATCCGCAAAAGCACAGAACAACAAAAAAATTCTACATGCAACAAGAACTAAATGAACACTTGCTCTCCGGTTACTACCCCTCTGCTAGCATTAAATTATTTCTTTGCAACATGCGTCATACAAACACAGTAATGTCACAGGATTGCGTACACTTACAGGGTAATGGTTGATAGTTCTGACATCTTGCAAGAATGCTGGTTAGCCCTCTTAGGCTTACAGTAGCATTTCTGAACGCAGCTGCTAAATATGACAAGATTAGCATTTTTTTCAGCATATTGTGAACAGGCCAAGGTTTGTTAGTTTCAACACATTTATGAGACACATCACAAAGATGGAAAGCGGACATGATGGAGTGAAATTATAGCACAAACCAGCAGCTTAACTGAAGCCAAAATAATAATATTTAAAAAATGCAGTGGATGTTGCTGGCAATCGTGATGTGTTGACTCACAGATAAGCCAGAGATTGAACAACCTGGAGGCAGGTGGTCAGCCTTACGCATTAAAAATTCACGTGACCTTTGCAGTCTGAGAGTGTACAGAATGTAACAGAACAGCATATTAAATGAAAGTTGACTGCACACTTGTGGAGCACAATAATAACATAAACTTGTAGAATGGAAATTAGTCTAAGATGAAGTTGGATCAGATGCTCCTCATTTTTGTGCCTGAATACCCAACTTGTAAATAACTTCTTTTCAGTGGAGAGTGCTAGTATGGACACCAAAGTGATTCTCAGCTGAGCTTCCTTCATATATGGGGATGGGGGTTCAGTAAGAAAGCTGCATGTGAGAAAGCCAGTTCAAAGGTATTTCTTAATTTATGTCGCACACCGTAAGATAGGTGTGTGCCTGTAAAAGCAGTGGGCACATATACTCTATTATAGATCAAGACCATAACCTCTGTATGCTGTACTATTGCAGGAGCTGCTATGGATAATGGGGTCTTTACACTTGCAGTCAGCTGAACAGGGGCAAATTCCAATTAGCTGTCCAGAAGGGTAGTCTTAAAACAATTTGGGAAGGCATTTCAAAGGATCTGAGGGACGGAAGGAAAGAGACTTTGTACATGTTTTGGCAGGCTGAAAGCCGCGTGGGAATTGAAAATGCTACTTTCTTGTTGAAGTTTGCAGGAAGATTTCTTTTTCTTTTTTGAATCTGTGTTTTTTTTTGGTAGGATTCACCTTAGGGAAGGTTGAACACTGGCAGTGTAGATTTCTATCTAAGCCAGACATCCTTTGCTCCTGTTAGAATCATCAGAGAGAATAAGTAATCAAGAGGGAAATAGACACTTTTGGGGCAGGGTATTTTAGATAGCCACTGTAGGACAGGATGAACAGCACACCAAACTCCATTACCTGCCTTGACTAGCTCTTCACTGACTGTAAAGGAGACTATGACGCTTTTCTAATGCTATTGCCTATAAGGCAAACGTCTCTACTTATTCAAACGAATCATACTCTATATCTGTTGCACAGTCTATGACTTGTGTTCACGGAGCCGTAGACGGAAGATGTATCTTATAAACTGAACAATAAACTAGAATAAATTGAAAAAAGAAATTATACTTCTCTCTACTGTTAACTCCTTTAAGCCAATCCAATTTACTAGAGTTTCTCTTTCCCTTTTGGGTAATCAAAAGCTAATAGTTATAGTCTGATTGTAAAATATTTATTTATTAGAGATGGTAGTATAAGAGCTAGAAAGAATATAATACTGTGGCATGTACGCATCTAGCAAATAGAAGAAATAATCATGTTTCGACTTGTGAATTGAACCTCATTTCTTTGGGGTGATGCTGAGGAAGTAAATGTGAAAATGACAGTGTTACTTTTACAGAATCACTTCTCTGATAAATTTTTGCACCACCTCATATAACATGTCTGATTTCACAGAGCTGAGCTGTGAATTAAGACTGACCAAGAACAAGGATTGACATTTTAGAGACATTTCCTTTTACTTTGGCTGAGATTTTTAAAAGTGACAATGGATTTTGAATATCTCACTCCTTTTTTGATAACCTGAGTTGAAACACATTATCTAGGACCAATTTTCATCACAAGATTGATGCTCAGCATGTGCTGAAAACAGTGCTTATTAAGGTATTTCAAGCAACACATCCTGAAACAAAAACCTCTAAAAATTAATAATCACTTCGAAAGATCTTAGTCATGGGGTGTTGAAGAGGGTCGTTTTTCTGCCTGGCATGCTTAATGCTGCAGTAGTAATATGGAAAAAAAAAATGCTCACCTACATTTTCTTCATTATATTCTGGGGTACTTTTGGTAGAGATTGATATTATAGGTATTTCTAGTGACTAGTACTAACATGACAGTTCTTATTTATTTGCTAGAATTATCAGAAAGCGCCGACTTGATTCTGAAAATAGTGTCTCACAGTTAATTGCTACTCCACAGCCAGTGAGGGGAGGTTCACATATTGGTGGACAGTAAAAAACTTCTGCAGTGTTTCATAGGAGAATGTTACTATTTCACTGCTCTTTGTTTTTTTTAGCTGCTTTTTTTTTTTCCCACCACCTTATCTAATTTAAAAAGAACTATTTTTCTGACGTTGGACATTACAAGGTGACCTAAAATGTTTAAAAAACAGAATTGATAGAAATTTTTCTTCCTTTGTTTCTTTTGTTGCTTCTTCTGTTTTTTTTTTTTTTTTTTCTTCTTCCATCAAAGCAGAAACACTAGAGGAAGGAAATGAAGAGAGGAGAGGCAGAAAAGGCAGGAACTAGAAAGAAATGAGAATGAGAGAGAAATAGCTGAATAAGAGAAAAATAATGTGAATGAGATTATGTATGTCACAACATTACACAAATTAGGGTAGGATCCTCAGTCCTCTGTAGAAACACACAAAATGGAACTGGTGACGTCTAACTATATCCATCCAAAAGGAATCTAATCTGAGCTGTCACCTTTAGCTCACTCAATCATGGAAAGAAATGGGCATTTCCAGAGGCTGAGTTGACCTATGTAACAGAGGTGTCTAAGACATATGGGATGTATAGTCTAATGGAGGTGCCCAGGTCTCTGGATTTGACCGTAGACGACGACCAGACTATTTAGATTAAATACGAGACTTTAGACAGCTAAAGGCAAACAAGCTGAGTCTCACCGCATGTGTCCTGTGCATGGACTGCAGCTGCCTCTGGGAGGAAGAGGGAGGGTGCTAGGGTGGAAGGGGAAAGAGAAAGTTAAATAGTCCCAGGAGGAAATGAGTGATGTTTGATGTGGCTGAAGACCATCTTGTCAGGTTGAACACCTAGACGTCCGGCAAGATAATGCAAATGAGAGAGTAAAATATACGAGGCAAAGGTAGTTGCAATTCAATTGTAAAGAGTCTGTAGGCTTTTCATGAGTGCTTAAGAGAAGTAAAATGAACATGCCAATTCTCAGGAATGAAGTTATGCTTTGTTACCAAGGCCACGTAGATCCGTAATGAAAAAGATCAAGGTTCTGCATTTAGGTCATTAATAGCATGCAGCGAATGGCAGAGTTTGTGGGTTGTCTCAGAATATGCTGAAGGTGGAGCATTAGGGAAAACACAACAACGGTAGAATTTGGTTTGTATAAGTTAAAACTGTGCCTCGTTAAAGAATCTTTGTGCACCCTGCTCAAACAATTCCATGCAACCTCACTGCAAATAGCATTGGTAGCTTGTCACTGAATAAACGTATGGCAGTAGGAGAAGAAATGTAGAAAAAAAATGTTGAAATAAAGTACTGAAGATACAGCAAAGTGTTAAGCAAGGTGAAAGTAGAAAGACTGTGCAGGAGAGAAAAAATCGAAAAATGCAGCTATACCATCTATTATTTATGCTATGTGCCTCCTTACCTATGGCTGATATTGCTAGAGCCAGGGGAATTACTTTCCTTGGCACCCAATTCCTAACGATTTCCTGAAGCTAGATTTGTTTCTTGGCCAAAATACAAACTACTATTACAAATACCCTGGATTTGCAGATCAGATATAAACAGCTCGCAAAAGTGAACTCATTTTTTGAGTAGAAAACAAAGTTGATGATGACTGTAGAAGCTCATCCTGCTGCAGGCTTGACTGTGGGCACTGAGCCAATGCATGTAACTACACTCCTGTCACTCCGCTCTTTTAGATACAGAATAATAAGCATGGGTGCGTCCCTCTAAAGTATTTATTTAATTCCATCTCATTTGACTTTTGAAGTCTACGGTATACATATCTACCTCTTACAGTGTCATCCCATGCTCACCTTGCAGTCAGTGGATATAAGCAAACAAAAAAGGGAGATTCATCTGACCTGAAACATCTGATTTAGAATGAAACGAATTGCACCAAGGACTTCATTCGCTAGACTGGGCAGATCTCTCCTGACAACAGAAGGAGCCCAACATGATTAGCTTATTTATTCAGGTGCATCCCACTCTGTCGTGCTAAGAGTACAACCACTTTTTTTTGCACTTCATAAAAAGGGCGTCTGTTTCTATACTGTTCACTTGAAAACACATCCAAATGTCCTAGTTAGCTTTTGTCAAAGTCCTAGTCTAGTTACCGATAGCTCTACTTTTCCTGATACAGCCCACCAAATCAAAAAACTTTCCCCTGATCTCTCTAAGAGATCTGAGGTATTTTAAGACCTCCTTCTTACACCTGGTAATAACCTGAAAACAAGTTTAGAACAAGATAAACCACATGTGAAATCTCCTTTACAGCCCTTGTCCAAAACCCACTAAAATCACTTAACTTTAATGGGTAGTAGAGGTCTTCTGTCATCTGACTTTGTGGTATTTAAGTCTTTGAGGTCTCTTTTATTGGTTTAACGTGTGAGGTCAGTTTTGTATTTCTCTTCTTTGTTCTGAGCAGGTATGTCTTACACAGATCAGCGAATCTTTTTTTTTTTTTTTTTCAGTGATTTGGAGGAACGTAAAGAAGATTTGTACCTTTAGCATCTATGTACTTGCAAAGCCAATGAACATCTTCAAGCTGAAAGCTGAGAGATATGTGGGAAATCTCATGAGTTTTTTTTATGATTTTCAAAGCTCTCATGTTACAGAGGATGTACAGTATAATACTATCCATAAGCAACTTTTTAATTCCACCAAGTGGAGATTTAATCCATTATAATTGATACCTGGCATGGCAATTACAGCTAGAATTTGGCATGGAAACTGTGTGTCTGTGAGGAAACCACCATCACCTCCACAGAAGCTGAGACTGGCTTACTGCTTGCAGATGATAGCTGCAGTTGAAAATGAGTATTTAATAAAATGATTTAAAATTGGAATTATTTATCCAAAAATCTTGAGCTTTAGTCAGAACTGAGGCTTGAAGATGAGTGGTCAAGGAAAGCTGAAAAAAACCCAACTCTACACCGGTCATTCTTAGTTTTGCTAGCATCTGCAGAGTGGACAGACAAGGATGGAAAAAACAGTTATTGTGTGCAGAAACCAAAGAATGAAGAGATAAAGCTTAATATTTAATTGTGTTCTAGAGGGGGGAAATGGTAGTAGAAAGAAGAATACTTCAATCGAAGATCTACTTTTAATTAACTGTAATGTCAATGTTACATTTATCTATCCTTCTTATACATTACCTCTGGAGAACCTATTTAACAAACTAAATTATTCTCACTTACCCCAGAGCATAGTCTATTGTCATGCATAGTGGAATAATTCTGATGGAGGTGCATTAACATAACTTTTGGGTAAAAGACAGTAGCATGTTTAGTGAGAAAAATCGTACTACACCAAGTGAGGTTCTTAAATGAGTTTGAATTTAGGTTTACTGTTTGAAATGAAGAATCTGCGTGTCTGGATCCAGTCCTACAAATCAGAGAATGTGAGTGACCTATGCCTCACTGTCCTTAAAACAAATAAATAGACAAAACCCACAGGGAATTTACTGTCTGAGTCTGGCACAAGAAGTAGACATTCAAATGCTATAGACAGGTCTTTGTCCTGTCAAAGAGCAGAGCTCATCGCTGGGGTACTTGCATAATTGGGTTTACATAATTTGCAGCTCTGAGGCTTCAGTTAGCTTTTTTGCCTTAGCTGCCTTACACTTTACACGGCATCCCTGCGGACCATGGTCCAGGTTTCATCCCACCTCTCTTACTCTCCCTGATGAAAAACGAAATTGCTGCCTCGGTTGCAAAGGCCTGGGCTTGCGGACTTATGATCATATGAACAACCCCAGTGATTTCACTGGAAATACATAGGGGAATTACAATTTGGAATATTTCTCGGTAGCGGTACAGATGCATAGCAAGTGGATTACCAGACTATTATACGAGCTGTATGCACAGTCTTAGATTGTCCCAAGCATGAGGTAAAATATATTTGTTTAAATCATCTTCATTGAGATTGATTTCAGTATTAAACCATTGTAACTTGGTGGCCTTTGAGTTTGTGTCCATAATCTCCATGGCAGAAATAATTCATTCCAAGGCAACTAACCAATTATCCAGTTAACATCACACAGCTCCTTCCATGTATGTCATTAGGGAGAGCCTCATAAGAATTTCAGTCTTCCAGATCAAAAAACTTCTGTGGTGCAACAGCACCATCTGTCTTGGTCAATCCATTCCTCTAACGAACATATTCTTCTGCAGAGTACCTCCAAACAATCTTCAGACATAACACCAAAACCACTGGATGTGACTGATGCACGTTAGTTGCTGAAGTGAGGCACAAGAAATCAATGACAAGGAGAAGCAGACACTAAGGGGAAATTAAACTCCTTTTGTTCTTGGTATGGTTGATGCAAAATGTGAATGATGGCAGAAAGGAAATGGAAGACTATGAATACTGCTGTGCAGCAAGCTCTGAAGAAAATTCAAAGCACGTTTAAGGTCAGAGATGTCAGAATTATTCCCCATTCTCTGCAGTCCAGTAGCAACTGCTGCATGACCATTTGCATTGACCCTATTTTTGCCTTTGCACTAAGTAACTGATTCTAAGAAATGAGAGTGGAAACTGGTTTGGGACAAGTAAAATTCAAAATCCCTCCATTTCAGCCTAACAATACATGCAAAACAACTAACATAGCTATGAGCAGTGTAGGAGGGAAAGGAAGAACAGCCAGAATGGACAACTTGAATGCTGCCAAGCTAACTCTCAGTCTGAGATTTCTGAAAAGTGATCTGAATCTCAGAAACTGATGAGATTATCTTCCGTAACGAGTAAGCTGTCCCAATAAAGGATATATAATCTGTATTTACTTTTGGAAATCTTGTCACTCAAATCATAATTCATGAAGATACAAGGCCTTTAACACTGAACATTTTCTAGTTCTGCTGATCTCAATGGCAGCTGAAAGTTTACCAGTACGAATCAAAACTGGATTATTTATTTAGGCAAAGTGCAGTGACTTCAGGAATAGATTTATGAAAACTGTTCTCCATTTTCTTTAGGAATCCTACTTTATGTATGCTGATTATGAAACTCAAAGGTATGACAAGTTATAATATTATAGAGAATTTAGTTAAGTTTATTTAAGTTAATTGCTAATTAAAGCAAGAATCTGTCTGTTGTGCACATTGCTAAAGTATTTGTGGTACTTTAAAAAGCAATAATGGAGTAACTTTATGTATATATACCATTTCTAACATTAAATGTGTATGTTTAGACCTATATTTACGTAGGTACACAGACAGGGACACACACATGTACAAATCATACTGGCTTGAGTCTTCAGCTGTGTTCAGTCCTGTTCCTTACCAGTGATGAGATTCAAGCCAGAAGCTTTTAGGTACAGACTTTCAAAGATATCTGGATCCTGAATATCCAGATGTATGCTACTAACATTTCGAAAGCAATTCAGAAGACACTGCTTAGATCTTGGTGCCTAAACCTCCTTCAAAACCGCCGTTAGGACTAATCCAACCCTTGCTGGGAATGTTGAAAGTGTATTGAACTTTACCTTACTGTTCTTAAAAATATAGGAGGAACATTCCTATGAAGAGAAGCTCACTGTTGAATCTGGCATGGTAGTCTCTTTTCCCTCACCGACTGGCACATCTGCGTAATCTTTCTCCAGATGGACCAAAGGCTAAGTAAATCTGTTAGTGGCTTCTCTTTGAATGAAAACATATTCTTGTCCAGCTCGTGGCTTGATTTTCTAACAGATGGGAAAAAAAAAAAAAATCTGTGCTTCTCCTCTTTTACTGCATAGACTGTGGACAGAGCACTTCAC